TTCGAAGTTTATCAGTGATGGTCTACGATTCATGACCGTAGGTAAGTATGGGGATAAAGATCGACTTGAACACCGAGAGCTTACCTTTCAGACTGCGCTCTGCTGTAGTCGGGCTAGTTCAGGCAGAACGCAACTGGCTACTCCAATTCGCCAGTCGATCTTTTTCTCCAATTCTCCATCACTAGTAAATATAATTCCGAGGTACTTGAACTTTTCCACGTGCTCCACCGCCTCTCGTTAATCTGAGGAGGGCAACGGGCAGGAGAACGAGAAACAACTAGGCTTTTCATTTTAGGTGCGTTCACACGCATACCAGTCAGGTCGTATTTGTTGCAAATCCTTCTATGGAGCACTGAAGATCAGTTTCAGAAGATGCTAATGAAACAAGGTCGTCTGCAAATAGCAACCTTCTCGACTTCACATCTCCGACACCGATACCTTCATCGTCTTTTCAGCCCTTGACTATTAAATCCATGTAGAACACAAACAGGATAGGGGCCAGGACGTAGCCTTGGTGGCGACCAGTGCGAACGTTGAATCGTTTCGACTTAACGCCATTAACTCTGACGCAGCACCTGCTACCAGAATACAGCGATTGCATGGCGCTTAGCAGCTGGCCATCTATCCCGTATGCACGAAGGCATGTCCACAGAGTGTTGCGTGGGATCCGGACATGCGCTTTTTCTAGGTCCAAAAATCACATGTGCACCGGATGGGAGTACTCCCACGATTTCTCAACAACCTGGCGCAGGGTAAATATATGCTTGGGTGCTTCGACCGGGCCGGAAGCCACACTGCTCTTGTATCTTGAGGTCAACTATTTGGTGGCCCCTCCTTTCTAGCACCTTTGCGAAGACTTTACCTGGGAGGCTCAATAATGTTATGCCCCTATATAATTGGAGCATTCTTTGTGGTTTCCCTTCTTGAATACGCGTAGAGTAACTCTCGTTCTCAAGTCGGATGGTTCCTTTCCCGCAGTCATCGCAGTTTGACAGACACGTATTAGCCAACACATGCCTTGTTCGCCTAATGCCTCGAGCATCTCAGGGCGGATTCGTCAGAGAGATAGTGATCGGATTCATCTACAGAGATAGTAATATGCGCACCCTTCTGCTTTACAGGCGAGTCTTTCTGCGTTTGCGCGGGGTTAAGGAGTTCCTCAAAGTACTCCCTCCATCGCCGATGAATGTCATCATCCTTGGTAAGAAAGTGTCCAGATCTGTCTTTCAAAACTTTGAGACTGCCCTTCTTTTCACCTCAGAGCCGGTGAATGGTCTGCCAGAATACTTTCTTTGCCATGTGGAAGTTCGACTCCAACACCTCACGAAACTTCTTACAGAAATCAGTCTTGGCTTTTGCCACTGATATGGCTGCCGTCTTGCGTGCCTCGACGTATCTCACGCGTATAGATGGCTCCTTGTTTCCAAGCCATTTATTGAACGCTCCTTTTTTCTCTTTTACTGCCAGTTGTACCTCTCGTGTCCACCATGAAGGTCTTTTCTGACCTCCAGGCGGCAGGTCCACCCGTTTCTGTCCGCAACATTCGGCGGTAACCTCGAGTTGGCTTCTCTTATACAGCTGCCACTCGGTTTCAACATCAGTTGTCATCGCTGGAATCTTTTCAAACCGTCGTGCGATGTTGTTTGCATATTTCGCTCTCGTGTCCACCGAAGATAATATTTCCCATTTGATTCGACAGTTGCTTTTGCCGCCAGATCTTCATATGGTACTCCATTTCTTACGGTTTAGGGTGCCAACAACAGGGTGCTGATTGGTTGATAGCTCTGCGTCTCTCTTAACGCGAACATCCATTACTGAGCGTCTTAGGTCAGACGAAAGGATTATCAAATCGATCATCGACTTCTGTGCACCAACTTTTCGGTACCAGGTGTACTGATGCACTTTTCGATGCTCGAAGAAGGTGTTCATAATTGACAATCCGTTGTTTGCACAGAACTGCAG